TGTTGTTGACCTCCACACAGACTTGAGAGTAATGAAAGCTTGTCTTGCTTTTCCGATTCTTGCTTTGATATCCTCGTCAGTTCCGTTGGCCTGTACTTGAAACAAAGTTTCCCAGGTAGGTAGAGGAGGTTGTTTCTTTCAGGTTCCTCCCATTTATGCTGATTGTTGTCTGTTGTTGTTGTTGCTGTTAGTGGCTGTTGCCCAAGAATCTTCATCACCTCTGTTTTCTCTATGTTCACCTGAAATCCTATCTTCTCGGGATGCTTCTTCTGCCAAGTTGTTGCTTTTCGCTTGCATATCTTCCAGTTTGTGGCAAATCATACATATATCATCGGTGAAGTCCAGGTCCTCCATGTTTTTTGTGTGAGTCCATTTTATGCTTGTTTCCTCACTGCCCGCCACTGTCTGTCGCATTCTCCAATCTACTGCATTCAGGAAAATCACTGGCGATAGTAGGCAGCCAGCCTGTCTTACTCCTGTCCTCACTTCGAAGGATTCCGTAAGTTTCCCGTTGTGGATTACTTGGCATGCAGCATTGTCGTATAGCTGTCGGATAAGATGTATAATTGTCGGTGGCACCCCGTAGTAGCGAAGTAGTTTCCAAATCACCTCTCGATCGACGCTGTCAAAGGCCTTTTCAAAGTCGATGATATTGAGATAGAGAGGTGACTGCCACTCTAAGCTTTGCTCAGTGATGATCCGTAATGTGGCGATCTGATCAATGCATGACTTGTTTCTCCTGAATCCAGCCTGTTCCGGTCGAAGTTTTTCATCCAGGACATGTTTGATTCTCTCCAGGATGATGCGGCTTAGTATTGTGCTTGGGATGGACAGGAGCATAATTCCGCGCCAGTTCTTGCATTGACTTAAGTCTCCTTTCTTTGGTAGTTTGAATAAGTATCCTTTCTTCCAATCCTCGGGTACTTTGCCTTCTTTCCACATCTTCTCCAGTAGAGGTGTCATCAAGCCTGCTGTTGTCTCTGCGTCCATTTTCAATGCTTCTGCTGGGATTCCATCTGGTCCTGCTGCTTTTCCAGCCTTTAGCATCTTGATTGCTTTCAGGACTTCTGATTTCGTCGGAGGGAGGGTTGGTGTTCACTGGTAGCTCTGTCTCCGTTGTTGGTATTGTTGGGCGCGTTGTCGTTGGTGGTCGATTTAGTAGTCATTTGAAGTGTTCAGCCCAGTGTTTCTTTTGTAAACTAGATATTTAATTGTTGTTAGTTAAATTTTTAAAAATTATTCAATTAATGTGCTGCATTCTGCTTTTCCTGTCGCCTTCCTTTCCGTTCTGAGTGGAAACAGAGCTTCAGTCTTTAGCTTTATCATTTTGGTCGTGACACATCAGCCACACACACACACGCACACCCAACCTTCCGTTGGGATTCCTACCGCCTCAACGAGGTTTAAGTGTCCATCGGCAGGGAGAGATTGCCGGATCGCATGCATGGTTAATGAGCTTTTCGAACAACTGAACCGTCACATTCTGTAAATTTCAAAATTATCAAGCTTTGGCTTGCAGTGATTTGAATGGTTACTGGAATAATCACGAATTGACAGCAGTTGCAGAACTATTGAAAACCCAGCTGGCAGTACTGGACATCCAGTTGTTTCGGCCCGGTTTTCAACTCTCCATCAGTACGCGACCACCCCAGGAACTCTAATCAAGGACCTGTCAGCTAAGAGGCGAACTCATAGACCGTTAAGCCACTGGGACGCAATCCAATGGTCCATGATTACCAACTTCTGCCAATTCTTGCTAAAGTCAGGGAAGAGGACGGTTACTTGCCTGTGATATTGGCCAGCGGTTTAGCAGAAGTGTCTGAATGGTTTACGAGCTCGCCTCGTAACTGGAAGGAAGGTCCTGGAATCGAAGAGTCTCAGACTAGGACGAAACCCCGGCTGTCCAGTACTCTTAGATAGCTTTCCAATAGTTCTCCAACTGATGTCAGCTCGTGGTCAGTCCTATAATTTCAAAATTCTTAATGAAACGTTTTGATATGGTTTACAGATCTGACATGGAGTCGAACCGATCACATATGTACAAATTAATACCCAAAGAAACAGTCACTTTTTATCCGATATTTTCTTTCTCATATGCTGACAATCCGACAAAGTCGCATTAGAAATATTTCTCATCTAAGTGAATTACTCTAATACTCAAACATAGAATTTTCATCGCATATTAGATGAGTCTAATAATAGTAAAGTAAATAGTGATACTTTATTTTCCCTAACTGATAATAACATTTCCATGCAGAGCAGTTTGTTGTCCATAATTAAAGCGGCTCAATATTCATAATTATCTCCATTATCCTGTGTATCCTTTCTTATGTTAGCCAAAGGGTATAATTATAGATAACACTGTAACATTAGATACTGTTTCGGTGATTCAGCAGAATTAGTATTCCGCCATAAAAGAGAACTAGAGTTATACACTCTCTGACCTTATTTTATGACTATGTGTCGGCACATTAACTGAGGCTGTTTATTTTATTCAATGGAATGGCATTTAACATTGAGAACATAATTGATTCTATTTATTTTGGAATAATGATTCACCAATATGAGTTAGTGAGGTCCTTAAGAGTCAACAATGTTAATGTTTGAAAGGATCAAGAGTTTTTATTTATCACTATAGTAAATGTGATGATGTGTATATCTCATTATTGTTTCGGAATTCTTTTCAACGATACACTGCTTATTACTATTTATATTATTATTATTCCATTGGGTTCCAGATAAAACATAGGGCTTCAGTGGCCCATCTACGTTTCATCCTGTTCTCCAGTTGACTGCACGAAGCTCTCATCTTATCCTCACAAGATCTCTCCATGTCATCCTGAGACGCTCATCTCTCCATTTCCTATTTCGGTTCCTTAACGTTCCCCAGTGGAACATAGGGCTTCAATCTAGTGGCTTGACGTTTCTGTAGCAGTGTTTATTTTTACAGGATTGGGTTGCTAGCCAGTCTCATGCCCAACCTTTCCTCTTTATCAGCATTATTTCTGGCTCAGCGAGTTAAAGGAGTGCGTCTGTGGCCGGGGATCGAGCCCCGGACCATGTGCATGGTAGGCGAGCGTTCTAACCGCTATACCACCGACGCACCCATCTGCTAGGCGTGTGATGCCACTCTCTTCAGTTTGTCCCAATACATTTCCATTTTCTCCGATATACCTGTAGGGTGATAAACGTTTGGTTATTTCTAATTAGTTGTGTTCTCTGAGCTGGTTGGTTTAGTTGCGGAGCTTTCGTCGTCCTTCTGGACAACATCCCAATTCAGCGCAATTTTTAGCATAAAGTGAACTGATTTAAATTCTCTCTCCATGAATGATAGAATTATGTCTCCTGGTAACCAAAATTTTTACATCTGTATTGATCATTTTTTTACTGACTTGGATTTAAAACCTTCTCGTCACATGATTTACTTTTTATTAGTTGGTAGATTTGGTCTATATTAACATATTTGTTAATCGCCGGCTGATTCGTTTGAGTACCAGACTTCTAGGAATTCTCTGGCAGTACTTATGGTGTTTCCTCTGTTTAAAACTTCGACTTTCTCCCAATCAAACCGATGTCCATAATTATTTTTATGCATTGATATGAAAGAGTATATACCATGCTCCTTTACAGGTAATTTGTGTGCTTGAATTCGGACTCGAAGGGGACGCCAACTTTGACTGATATAATGTCTGTTACAGTTCATCCATGCAATTTATTTTGTAAATGGTACTAATTTTATCTTCTTTCTCTGTTTGATCTTTTGGTCTACACAATATCGAGTGAAGTGACTGGATTGGCCTGTGTGCTAAATCTATTTCAAACGGTCTCAATACTCTATCTGTTATTTCAGAGATACGTTTTATATATGTGGTAGGATGATCTTTCTTGTGTTCTTTGATGATGGTTTCTTGTTGGTGTAGTGACTCGATTTTTTTAACACTTTTTGATGAAATCGTGAGGATATCCATTCTTTTTGAAGACGGTCAGTAGGTATTGTTCTTCCATTCTCTTCAACGCTGGAGTCCTACAGTGTATTTGAACTCCTTTAAACAATGTCTGCACACAGTTTCTTTGGTGGGTAATTGCGTTATTGCTATTATAGTTGAGTATTTGATCTAAGTGCGCTGATTTTCTATATACTCGTGTTGCTAAACTTCACTATGGCTATTTCACTAACAGAGTTTCTTTTTTGCTGATATTTTCTGGCCCGTCATCTAATGGGAAGTAGCTGTTGCTGAAAGTCTTCAGCAGTCTGTAATAGAAATAGTTTGTATGATGCACGCTTCTAATAGACATTTAGACTTTAATTCATCTCACCTGTCATTGTCTCTGAAGGCAAGCTTAGTTGTTAAGCCTCCAACAAACCGAGCAACAGTATTTCTGAGTAGTGCAACAAAAAACCTAAGCGATGAAATGAAACAGATCGAAGAATGGCTGGTTGGTGTTAAATAACTATCCTATAAAATTCATCATTAAGATCAGAAAGGGTCAAAAGTAAAAATAAAAATAGTGAGGAAACTAATCATAATGATAACATAAATAAGAGAGAATGTAAGTCATCTACTGTTATACCATATAAAAAAGTCATACGTAGGATTGTCAATAAAGCAGGAATTAGGGTGGCATTCAAGCCTACAGACTCACCCATTGCAAACCTGACTGAAAGAATTCAGTCTGCACCAAAGAAAGGACTAGACACGTCACACTAGTTACTATTGTCCAATGAACATACCCACAACAGTCTTACAGGAGGTCAATCGCTAGCCCGAGTAGCTAGCTCAGTGGTAACGTCTCCGACTGCAGGTGGCACTGGGTGACGCGGGTTCAAATCCCAGTAAGGACATGAGTTCCTTCAAGGTTGCAGATATGCCAACTAGCACGAAACCTGGGTTCAAGGCTTCCTACCGACTCCCTCCAAACTATCTAATATCAACAAATATAACTTTTAAACACATCTGTATAACTGAATAGGTACACACATACACACACACACATCTTACCTTATTCATTGCTCCAATACTCCTGGAACCAGCATCATTAAACATTCTCGAGTGTAACAGTAATGCACGTAAAGCTAAATACAGTCTACATAACATTGGTAGAATTAACAATAGATATGGACTGAAGTGGTCATCTAAATGGTGTAGTGGATGATTTCGTTTATAATTTATGTAATTAGTCACTGGGAATGGACGATCAAAAAATAAATCAATTCCGGGGAATGGATGAATTGAGCAAATAAATAATTCAGTGATTATTTGTATGACTCTATACTTTGTAACACAAATTCTCCAATCTTTTGTATATTCTTCACATAGAAATACCTGCAAAAGGAGAGAAGAAAAACAAAGAAAGAAAGCGTTTATCCATTTATTCGCCATGATGAATCTGATTGAATAAAGCCAAGAACAACTCGGTGGTGGCTTGTGCAGAATAAGAAGATGGTACCGTCATTGTTGATTTCGTTGGCTTCTCGTCAGCTGCCGCTTACAGCCTAAATAAATTATGAGGTTTATGTACAGAAAGGTTTTAATATACTTGAAAATATGCTGACGTGATGTCAGTTGACAGAAGGTTCCCCAGTTAGTGAACAGTGCTCAGAAAATTGAGCGTATATATTTTTTACACAGGCAGTTCAAGTTTAAACAAAACAAATGTGTGCATACAATGGTAAAGGAGTCACGTAATAAAGAAGAGAGATGTGGAAAAGATGCTGAGTGACTAATAAATTGTGCAACAATATATTGAGTTCAACTCAAATCATAGAAACGAGAGATCAGCAAAATTACACAATATAAAAGGAGGGTGGGGGTTAAAACCAAAGATTATTTATTCAAATGAAAGAGAGAATAAAGACATCCAGTTACCAGGATGGGCAATGAAAGACGGATAACCTGCTTCTTTCTGAACACACATAAATCTGGTTTCTAGCGTTTGATAGAAATTACTTCGGCAAACCTGAGGAGAATCGAGCTATTTTGTCTATTGATAATTTAAAAGGATTTCGTGATTTCCACCTCATGACCCGTATCAATCAAGGAGATGTCTGGTAATAGCTCTATTAAAAGAGTTTGTTCCCTTGAGACATAGGTTTTTCGGCACATGTTCCGAAAATTGGAGTTGTACCCTTCTTTCTTTTGTTTTCTCAATGTAACTACTCCCGCAGGAACACAGTTGGAGTTAATAGAGAAGATTTGTAGCTCAGTTGGATGATTTGCAATTAGTAGTATTCTCTGAGCTGGTTGGTTTAGTTGCGAAGCTTTCGTCGTCCCCCTGCTGGACAACATCTTCAGGGCAATATTTAGCATAAAGTGAAATGATTTAAATTTCTTCATGAGTGATAGAATTGCGTATCCTGGTAACTATCTTTACATATGTATTGCCTATTTTCTATTGATCTGGATTTTAAACTTTCTGGTCACATGATTTCCTTTTTATTAGTTGTTATATTTCGTCTACATTAACGTGTTTGTTAATTGCATTTTCGTTTGAGTATCAGGCTTCTAGGAATTCCCTGGCAATTTTGGTGTTTCTTCTTTCTAAGATCTCGACATAATCCCAATCAAACTGATGTCCATAATTGTCTACATGCATTGATACTAAAGAATATATATCGTGTCTTTTCACAGCTGATCTGTGTTGTTGGATTCCAATTAGAGAGGGACGCCCACGATATAATGCCTGTTACAGTTCATACAATTTATTTTGTAAATGGTATTAATTTTATCTCCTTTTTGTGTTGGATCTTCCGGTTTGCATAATATCGAATTAAGCGAGTTGACTGGCTTGTGCGCTATATCTGTTTCAAATGGTTTCAGTATTCTAGCTGTTATTTAAGAAGTATTTTTATGTATGGCAGGATGAATTTTCTTATGGTCTTTGATAATGGCTTCTTGTTGGTGGTTTGTTTCGACTTTAAACACTTTTTGATGAAATTTTGTGGATAAGCATTCTTTTTGAAGACAGTTAGTAGGTATTTTTCTACCATTCTTTTCAACTCTGGAGTGCTACACTGTTACATTGTTACCTAATTTATTTGTCACTAAGCATCTAACGCATCTCTCATCTTTATTACGCAGCTCCCTTAGCATTGTATGCATACATTTACTTTGTTTAAACTTCAACTCCCTGTGTAAAAACTATGTAAGCGCAATTTTCTGAGAACTGTTCACTAGTTGCGGAACCTTCTATCAACTGATATCACGGAAAACATTTGCAGGTATCTTCACACTTTTCTGTACATAAACGTCATAATATATATAGGCTGTAAGCGGCAGTTGACGAGAAGCCAACGAAATAAATAATGGCGGTACCATATTATTCTGTACAAACCGCCAGAGAGTTGTTCTTGTTTTATTCAAGAAAAAAGAAGTAATGTTGACATCATGAAGTAAGTAAACTATGGAAACAGTAATCTCCATTTAGACACCGAGAAGTCAAAAGGATTGAGCCAAGAAATATTTACCTTTCAGTTAGATACTCATCTAAGGCTCTACAATGGGAGATGTTCAGTAACACGTTGGTTAAGTTGGTTTTGTGAAGGGCAGACAAAAATTCATCCATGGCTCCGTTTTGTCACATTTATCTGATAGGAGTCAATAGTCAGTGGCAAAAATACGAAAACAAAAGCATTCAAGGTGATTCATCGCATTCAGCTGAATCGTTCCATCCAGTGCACATCGACTTCGTCTACTGCATACAGCTGAAGTATTACTACCAACGGAATACATTTGAAAGAGGTCACTTCCTTCGTTTCAACTTCAGGTACATGACATAGATGAGGATGTCAAAAAACGTGGATCTGAAATGCAGGGCAAATCTTCACTACTCTGAAATCACTTTCAAAATTTTCTGCACTTTGCAACACATAAAGAAGATTCAGATTTTCAACACCAATCTCAAGTCAGTCAGTTCTTCTACATGAGTGAGAAACGCATCACCAGAAGCAGACTTTTATCAGAAGTTGATTTCGCCCCGTGCAGAAGATCAGATGGCCAACCAGAAAGAATCAGCAACAAGAAACTCTAAATGCACCTCATCCAAGAACGTATCGGTCAACAAATATTTAGGAGAAAAGGAAGATGAACGGGACACCGAGTAACATCGCGCGCCAGATGCTCCACAACGAGGTGGGAGTTTGAGGGTGACATGTAGGGGATCGTGTGGTGAGGAGATAAGAGACTATAGTCGGTTATGAACTCAGTTGAAGTGGATAGCTGAGAATAGAACAAAGTGGAGATGCACTGTTCAAGCCCAATATCCTACTTGAAACTTAAGGGAAACTCCAAGGAAATAATACCACAGTGTCTATAAGACAGTATAAAACGCATTCAGTTCAGCATAGGTACGCTGTAGCTATTCAACAATTCCTATATTACGTTTTCACCGTCTCTCTATGTCTTTTAAAAGTTATCATCCTCTTATTTGCTTTATCATAGTGTCCACTTCATATTTAACTGCTTGTTATGTAATCATTTTTAACACAGTTTTTCCTCAGTTAATTCCTTTATTTTTCCAAAAAAAGAAGGATTCTCTAATCCATTTGTCTAATTTATGAAAGTATTGCTACCTTTGAAATCAAATTCACAATTTCCAAGTGTACACAGTTCCAGGAGGTGAAATCTGACCACAGTTCACTTCAGAGACTGAAGTTATACAGATCACAGTGTGTTATCTGAATGATACGTCAACATCTAATCTCGAAGACAATCATAATTCCTGAAAATACCCAATGAGTTATGAAGAAAATAAAAGACAATTCATCGAAGAAAATTTTCTTTATTTAAGAAATCCTCTTCAGAGGCTGGCTGTACAGTCGTACCATGAATGTAAACTTCAAATTTGACGGCACGCTTTACAGGCAAGTGGACGGGGTAGCAATGGGCTCCCCATTGGGTCCCATTCTGGCTGATTTCTTTCTAAGTAAGCTTGAAAATGGACCTCTGAACAACCTTATCAGTAAGCTCCCATTTTATTGTCGATAAATGGATGATACCTTTATTCTTTCTGATAATGGTTCCGAAAGGAGTACAATAATTACTGAATTCATTGAAGTACATTCGGCTATGAAATTCACATGCGAAGAAGAATCCCAAGAGAGAATTGCCTTCCTGGATGTCCTACTTACAAGAAAACCAGACGGTAGCATAGAAAGAAATCTGCATAGAAAAAGCACTTTGATAGGACAATATACACACTTTCACAGCTTCGTTCCTGTCAATTACAAAAGAAATTTAGTGAAGACCCTTAGCCACAGAGTTGGAGCTATCTGCTCAGAAGAAGTAACTGAAGATGAATTAAGCATGGTATATGATACTTTGATCGAAAATGGTTATCCTGACAAATTTATCAAGAAACACATGACAAAGAAAGCGGAAAAGGACTAATCACTGTCTGTAAACAAGAAGCTATTTTATATACGACTACAATTCATGGGCGATATACCAAGCGAGTTAATTACGAAGAAATCAAGAAAATCAGTTCAAAGAACTTTTAATGCTGGCGAACTACACGTATTATTCTCTACACGACCGATGGTGCTACCCCGACTGAAAGATGAAGTACCTAGACTAGCTAGCCACTTCAAATTGTATCTATCAATTCAACTGTGCTTGTGGAGCGAGTTATATTGGCTGTTGCTCTAGGAACTTGATTTTTCGTGCTCGAGAACATATCCCACTGTGGCTAAGTAAAGGTGTAGTTAAAACTATTAACAGCTCGATATTAGACCATCTGGTGCAAATCGGCCACAAAGCCAGCGTGGAATAATCCTTCTCTATGATATACCGGGTGCCTAACAATCTACCAAAATCATCGAAGCACCGCATGCTCCAAACAGCAGAGGCTAGTGCAATTCGCCTCAAACAACTAGTGCTCTGTGTTCAAAAGAAGCAAGTCCAGCCCCTACTACTGCCCTGGCCCTAGGTAGAGACTATAAACTCGTGAAGTTGTACTATTATCATTCCTAATTCTTCTGACATTCAGTTTATTGTAATGTTGATGTTAGTGAACTGTAATCTATCAATATTATTGATTTGATGTTATTTAAACATTAATGTCGTTCATAAGACTAATTCATTCATTCATTATAATGTATATATAATTGTAGAACCTGATGATGTATTTATATTTGCCAAAAATGTCCAGTAGTCCATTGTTGAGCAAAAGGCGAGGGGTGAGATAATTGATCGAATTACTCAGAAGTAGCTTCAAAGGCAAAATGAAAGTTTCAAATTACTCAGTACTCAACGGCATAAAGGAAGAAAGCTTTAGAAATTTGATAAGATTAAAATTGTTATTGAGCAACAGGAAATGTGGTAATTGA